TATTCTAATTGTTAAAGGATGATCCTGATGGAAATGAATTTTTTTTCTTTTTGGATCACACCCAGTGGTGCTCAGGGGTTACTCCTGGCTCTGCACTCAGGAATTACTCCTGGCAGTGCTCGAGGGACCCTATGGGATGCGGGAATTGAACCCGGGTCGGCCGCGTGCAAGGCAAACGCCCTGCCCGCTGCGCTATGGCTCCAGCCCGGGAATGAATATTTTTGAGAAAGTATGAGGCTATGACCCCTCAATATTTTTGAGAAAGTATGAGGCTATGGTGTTTATGAGGCTATAAACACCAAACATGTTTTAAAAGTTAACAAGGGAGCCCAGATAACAGCTCAGTGGGAAGCACGTGCCAGTGTGGGGTCCAGGCTCGGTCCCTGCTCTCAGTCACAGTGCTCCTGGGGAGCCTGCAGCTCTACTGTGTGCAGCCCAGCAGCATAGGCACACAGGGGGACACCCAGCACCACACCGGGGAGAGGCTGGGCAATGCAGCAAGGCCAAGGCAACTGGACCAAATGAGAAAATCAGGTGAAAAAATAAAGCAGTAGCAACTGTGTCAGAGATACAGCTCTGCAGTAGGGAGTTTCATCTCCCACACAACCTGGTCCCTGGGGCAGTCCCAGGAGCACCCCTAGGCCCTGTGCTGGGCCTAGTCCCTAAACTCTGTGGGTGTGGCCCCAAACCAAAAATAAACAAAATACAACAACACATTCCGGCTGCTCTCCCTCCCTCCCTCCCTCCCTCCCTCCCTCCCTCCCTCCCTCCCTTCCTTTCCTTTCTCCTTCCTTCATTCTCTTTTATCTTGAGGCACTGTTACTCACAAAGTTGCTCAGAATACATTTGTATTCAGTCACACAATATTCTAACACCAATCCCATTGTCAGTGTCCACTTCCTACACCAATGTCCCCAGTTTCCCTCTCACCAACCTCCCTTCCAATCTTGCACTTTAAACCCCACATAAACTATAATAATTTTATATAAGAAATTGAGAGTTTCACTGTTAATATCTTATTAAGACAAAAAATGTGTTTTGTACAAAATTCCAGCTTTGCACTCTGGGTGAGGACCTTGCTTATAATACATTTCCTGATGATCTCGATTTCCTTATCAGAGCTATCTCAACTATGCTTTCCCCAGGAAGCTACAGCTTTGGAGATTGCTGTAAAAATTACTATTGTAAATGTGTAAATCCCAGAGGATTAGCTGCTCATGCAAACAGCCTTGTTTTGTTGCTAAGGTCTGCTGCTGAGCTGCAGATTCTCAGATGCAGGAGGAGGATGACAGAGCTCTGGGAAAGAGCTCTTTGTTTATTCTCAAAGTATCCGTTTTACTGGACGATAAGCACTTCACATCTTTCTAAAGTTACATTATAAAGTAAAATCTAAACTTGACACTTGAATTTAAGATAACACAATCTTGCTCCCACCCTGATTTCCCTGTGTGAACATTCCCTTCACAGCTCTACTCTGCAAGTAAGAAAGACGGTCGCAGCAGTGGTACAGTGGGCAGGGCCCTTGCCTGGCATGTGGCCACTGGAGTTTTGATTACTCAACACCCATCCCATTTGGTCCCCTGAGCACCACCAGGAATGACCCCTGAGTGCAGAGGCAAGAGTAAGCCCTGAGCACCTCTGGCTTTGGTTCTGGTGTGGCCCCCAAACCAAAACTAATAAATAAAAAGTCCAGTAGAGCTTGTGCTTAGAGAAATCTCACTTGCTTGGAAAAACAATTTCACTTAGTGGTCAAAAGGAACCCCACATCCTTCCTCGGCATCCACAAAGCAGGATATACTATGCTCTTTCCCGCAAACCCAAGCCAAGCCACAGATTCTCAGGTCCAATTTCAATGGTGCCCATGTGCTGGGCTGTGCCGCGCGGGGATGATTCCAGACCTCACGCATGCTGAGGAACTCCCCGGCCACACTAGGAAGATGAGGTGAACTCGGCCATCCCTCAGCCAGGGATGGAACGACTGTAGCCAAAGCACTGCTTTGACTCGTCTGTTGCTGAGAAGTTTAGTGTGGTTGTGTGGCCTGAGAAGGCTTGGGTCATGCGCTAACAACAGACTACCTGTCCCAGAAGGGGCCAGATCAGAAACCCAAGACGCTGTCAGTGGGGCTTGACAAGAGGGGCCTGCGGAGCTCACTACCCTGACCCTTCACTGCATACTCCTGAGTCCCGCCCTGAGCCGCCGCTGTCTCTGAGTCCCAGCCCAGAAACACTACTGTCTCTGAGTCCTGGCCTCCAGGGAGCTGCTGCTGTCTGATCTGGCCATGGCTCAAGGCTGAACAGGCATTTTCTGTGGAGGTCTGTGCTGACTAAGGTGGTTACACAGCAGACTTGACTTGGGTTGAGCATAAGTCAGCTAGCAAGGATCCCTGGCACTCTTCATTAGTCTAAGGGAGCACAAGTGTCGATGTTCTCTCTCAGTGCTTCCCCACAGCAGGCATTATTGCTCCCTAGGGGTGCTGGAACAATGGGGGTTGGGGAGGCAACAGTATATTCGAGTACAGGCAGGGGTACCCGATGTTTGTTTGCTCAGAGAAGAGTGATTTTCCCCCCTTTTCTGAAAAGGGGGCAGAAGGCCAAATAAGCCAGGGAACCCTGCTCTAGAGCCCGGTCTCTTAACCTGTGAGCCACCAGACAATGTGGGAAGGTCACCAAAAACATCTTGAAGTTTGTTTTAAAATATTAACAGTTCATCTCCTATCCATCTGTACCTGGGTCCATGGAAGAACCTCTGTTGGAACAGGGCTACCAGTGGGGAAAGTTTGAACAGTGAGAGCAGGGTCCCAGTGCCACCTGCCTCTGTCCAGCTGCCACGGGGAACAAGAGAGCACTCAGTCTGACCTGAGGGTAGAAGATCTCATTCTCATTTGGGGCAGATCCAAACTGAAGAAGATTTATAAATAGATCTATTATCACTCTCAGCACTAATGGGTCAAAGGTCACACAGTACTTGATAATTATCATAAAGTTCAAATGAGTCAAAGTCTGTTCAATTTTAATTCCCACCCCCCCCCCCTTTCCATCACAAAATGGCAGCTGGAGCAATAGTACAGCCATTAGGGTGCTTGCCTTGCACAGGACAACCCAGGTTTAATCCCTGGCATGCCATATGGTCCAGAGTCCCACTCATCTCTGAATGCAAAGCAAGGAGTAAGACCTGAGCACTACAGGATATGGTCCCCAAATAAAAAATCACCAAATAATTACAAAAATGGGGAAAACACAGGTGGAAGAGATAATACGGGGAACCTTATGGTCCCCTGGATCCTGCTGGATGCTGTGCCGGAGATCACTGAGCACGACTGGGTGGCCCAGGTAATACTCAGCACCATGGGGCCTGAGCAATGCCCAGCCTGAATTCTTGGGCCCAGCACTGATCCACAGGCCTGGAAGGCCAAGAATTGTCAGGAGGGGTCCCTGGGCATCCAAGCACTACCTGGGAGACCCTTCTACCCTCTGAAAATAGACCCCGACCAAAACAGGGCTAAAACAATAGGTGACATTTTTATCAGTGATCAGCAAAATCTCAACCCATTTAAATAAAAAAGCCATCCCAAAACATGGAAGCAAGCTATCACAAAGTAACCACTGGGCTAAAATAACATAACATGAGACTAAGACACAAGGACAGCAGACACAAGGGCCAGGAATATTGCTCCATAGTTGGAAGCCTGCCTCATGAGCTGGTGAAGAAGGCAGCTGGGGTAGAGAAGGGACCATTAAGTCAATGATGGTTGGAGGGATCACTTGGGATGGGAGATGTGTGCTGAAAGTAGACAAAGGACCAAACATGATGGCCTCTCAGTATCTGAATTGCAAACCACGAAGCCCAAAAGTAGAGAGAGAATAAGAAGGAAAGTGCCTGCCATAGAGGCAGGGGATGGGATGGGGTGGGGTTGGCGGGAGAGATACTGGGGGCATAGGTGGTAGGAAATGTACACTGGTAGAGGGATGGGTGTTCGCTCATTGCATGACAGAAACTCAAATCATGAAAGCTTTATAACTGTATCTCACAGTGATTCAATTTTAAAAAAATGAAAGCAGTTTTCTCCCTAACAATAAAGAATAGAAAGTAAGACAAATAAAAATTAGCTTTGAAAGATTGGTCAGGTTCCATGTTCCTTGTGCTAAACAACAAATCACCTTCTGGCACAAATCCAAAGAATTGTATTTTGCAAAAAAAAAAAATGTACATCTGAGCCAAGCACCACAGGCAAATGGGGCATGCAGTTATACATAGCCCAAAAATTTTCAATCATGACAAAAATTAAGTCGAACCTGACTCCTTGTACAAACCCAGATGAAGCAGTCTGCTGCGAACAGTCAGAACACTGTGCCCCAGCCTGCAAGTATAGAGCAACCTCATCAAACACTTGTGGAAAAGGTGTGTGCAAAGTGTCCAAATAGAGTTATTTGGAAATTGCTGCTCAGAACACTTTTTATCACAATTCATTCAGCTTGAAGGGAAAAATCTGAGTATTGTCTTCTGTCAAGGAGCGCTTAAATTCTTGACATGAACTAATGGTTTTTAGTAATGCTTGAAAAAAGATTCATGGACAACAATCAAGCCTTGGCCCCCAAACTACCTAGAGCAGGAGCCGAAGTGGGCTGGAACTCCAGACGGGCCTCAGGGCTCCACCTCAGCAGCAAGGCTCAGCCACAGAGAGAACACAGGCACAGTGCCTAATGCAGGTGCTGACCACCAGGTACATGATGTGAGACATGAGCAGGTTTGAACCTGACTCTCGAGCACTGCTAATAAAGATGCTTCTGGCCGCAATGTGTGCATCGCAGGGTATGGATTTTAACTGCTCCCAAGCGATCTGCAGAGAGGTTATGGCACTTACCTGGAGAGTTCTTGTCACTCTGGAGATTTGTCTGTCCTAGGTGGGAGATACTGGGACATTCTCATGTCTTGTTTTGCGTATGATATAGAAAATAATTGTTTTAATTGCATAGAAATAACACAACTAAAGCGACCTTACCTGCTTAAGAAATCGGTCAGAAGCTTGGCTGTGCTTGGCTAGCACACTTGGCAGGGAAGGATTAGCATATTCAAACTGAGGGTTGTAGGCATAGTCAGACTTGAAGAACCTCAATTTTTCTTTCTCCAGGTTGGAAGGCTTTATTGCAGTAAGTATACAAAATCTCTTCCCAGAAAAGTCTTCTTTTTCAAAACTTCTAGCTAGCTGAGGCTGTGGTTTTGGCTTCAGAAAGGTGGAGAAATGGAGCTGCCTGGCCTTGGTTTTGGGTTTAGGTGGTAGTACTATGCTGTTTCCTGTAACAGAGATATCATGCGTGAACTTCACAAGACTTGACACTGAACCAGTGACAAAAACAGCAGGCTGCCTTTCCAGGCAGTACCAGGTGCCACTGCTCAGCAGAGGCAGTGGGTCTTTCATCCTGCACAGATCTTTACTACAACAAGAGCTAGATTTGCTGGGTTTTCTACATCTTTTGGAGTAGTTGGAGGAAGACTGTTTTTGTGAATGGTGCTTTTTCTCCTCTTTGCTCTGTAGTAGGACATTGTAACTACTGGTTCCAGTTGTGAAAATGTCCTTAAGTATTCCAGGAGATAAATGTGAATTGTTTCTTTTGCTGTCAATGACCAATGAGTCTTCGGCACTTAGAACAGACTTCTTAGCAAATTCTTGCTCAGGCCAGTGAAGCTTTTCTGTGTTAATAAACAAAATCAAAACAAAAGAAAGAACAAACACCAGATGAAGCAAATTACTAATTATATGACACTTAGCCATGTCTAGGGGTACTGGGTTGTTCCTAGACAACTGTAAGGTATACTACCAGTGTGTTCCACAAAGAGGTTGCAGATTATGTTAAACTTAACTTTCAATACATAGCATTTTCCCCTATAACAAAACTATGTTACTAAGTATTGTTGAGGCATAGAAACTGCCAAATAACAATTTTAAAGCCCAGAAGTCATGGGTGTGGAGTAAAGAAATACCATGCAAATAATTCAAATATGGGAGTTACTTAAAAAAAAAACCCTTCTTTTGTTACATTTTCTATGCCAACTATAAAATTAAATTCTGATGTCTAAAAGGTAACGAGGTTTGAACATACAGGACTGTATGAAATGTACACTCACTCCAGTCAAGGTAAGAAGTAGAAGCTAGATTGCACAAGGTCAATGCTGACAGTGGATTGACTGCACAGAGAAGTCATTCAGGAAATGAAGACTTAACCAGCAGAAAATAAACAGGACAAACAAAACATTTCTCACATGCTGATGGGTCACAGAGGTTTGGAATTAAGTATCAACAATGGATGGTCAAACTGATAAGTTGGGAATATCCAAGTAACCCAGCACAATGGGCTTCCCTGAAATGACCCCACAGCTGAAATAGACACCTGAGGAAAAGGGAGAAGCCCTGAGATCAGCACACGGGTGTCACCAGTCTAGAAAAGTAAGGACTTAGCAGGGCCAGAAAGGTTAAAGAGAGGTCAGCAGGTTCTTTTTTCATCTGGTCTCCATTCTAAAAGGGGAAAGTTACAGCAAACTAAAACCTGTGAATAAAACTATTCTGGAAAATTCTTGGTTTGTGCTTATTACATGCACATTATGTTTCTTTCCTTTTTTTTTTTTTAAATAAAAAGACTATCTAATGTAAAAACGTCTTCTTTGGTCCCAATACTCAGTGGTTCTAGGACCAAAGAGCCCTGTGCTCTTTCATTTTAACATTAAGTACAGAAACTTTTAAATTTGTCATTTTGTCCTATCATAAACAACCTACACATTTCGGGATATTAAAAAAAATAACAATTTTAAAACATTGCAAAAACACTCATGGAAGAGAAGGCAGGTGAGAGGGAGAGGGGCGATGGTTTGTGCAGGACAGACTTCCTCTACCCAGGAGCTCCAGCATTTCAGCTCCCTGGCTAATTATCCCGGAGAGGCCTGGCATTCATCTGTTTAAGCTCCATCTGGGATGAGTGGGCTGGAGCGATAGCACAGCGGTAGGGCATTTGCTTTGCACGCAGCCAACATGGCCGGACCAGAGTTCGATTCCTCCGCCCCTCTCGAAGAGCCTGGCAAGCTACCGAGAGTATCTCGCCAGCACAGCAGAGCCTGGCAAGCTCCCCGTGAAGTATTCGATATGCCAAACACAGTAACAACAAAGTCTCCAATGGAGACGTTACTGGGCCCACTCGAGCAAATCGATGAACAATGGGAGGGCCTTTACTTTACTTACTGGGATGAGTAAGACCTGGGCATGCCAACAGTATCGTTCATAAATGCCAGTGCTGCTGACTGCTGAGATTCTATGACGCTCACGAAAGTGGGGCAGGTGGTCTTCCACACAAGAGAGGGACAAGTTAGCTTCTCAGAGTCATGCCCAAATTCTTTGTTACTTACATTAAAAAGCATTAAAAACCCGAAAATGGCTTGCTCTTCAAGCCCATGTTCTCCCTCAAACGTGTATCTTGCTTGCTTTGCTCCACTTTGGAAAAGCCTGTTCTCTATTGAACATGTATTTCCCATCTTTTTCTCTCCTCACATCATTCTAAGCAAGTTTCACCAAAACAACAACACCTCACCCCCCCGAAAACTCTTTCAGTCATTTTAAATATCTGCTTAAGAAAATACTATTTTAAAACATGTATAAAAACATAATAAAAGTGTGGTAAGATTTCCTCAAAAAGCATCCTAGTTCTCCTAATTTATTTTTCTTAAAAAGTTAAACCCTTGGGGGCTGGAGCAATAGCACAGCGGGTAGGGCATTTGCCTTGCACGTGGCCGACCCAGGTTCGACTCCCAGCATCCCATATGGTCCCCTGAGCACCACTAGGAGTGATTCTAGAGTTCAGAGCCAGGAGTAACTCCTGTGCATTGCTGGGTGACCCCCTCAAAAAAAAAGTTAAAACATTTTGTTCATTAAATTTTTTTTTTAAATTTTGAGTCGTACCTGGCAGTCACTCAAGGTTTACTGCTGGCTCTGTTGCTCAGGAAACTTTTCCAGTGGTTCTCAGGGGACCATCCGTGGTGCTAGGGAGCAAACTGGGGTCAGCCTTCTGTGCCACAGCCCTGTACCCCTAAAACTTTTTAAAGCACAAATATGCTTTTTGTGGAAGTAACTTATCTTTTTGGAGAAAAAGAATGTTTCAAAAATAATATTTCAGGGGGCTGGAGCGATAGTAGAGACGGTAGGGCGTTTTCATGGTCAACCCAGGTTCGATTCCCAGCATCCCATATGGTCCCCTGAGCACCGCCAGGAGTAATTCCTGATTGCAGAGCCAGGAGTAAGCCCTGTGCATTGCTGGGTGTGACCCAAAAAGCCAAAAAAAGAAATAATAAATTGTAGGATAACATTGGTTGGTGGTTTCTCCTCTGCCACAAGGAGTTTAGGTTTACTGAGTAATACCCATCACAAAGGTCCCGAAGCACCTCCATCCTTTGTATTTATTGTAACATAGCTCTAAACATTTTAGGATAACATTGGTATGTCCTGTTTCCTTTGCCACAGGAAGCTTAGGTTTATCACAGTGCTCCTGAGGCACTTCCATTCCTCTGTGTTTATCTGTAAACTCTTTCCTGTTCTCTTCCCCAACCGGTCTATTACCTTTCCCCCCTAATGAGACTCTGTTAACATATAAGGTCAGATTCCTCAGAAATCTATGATTTTATATTTGTGAATGAAATGTTGCTTTTCTCCTTCTCTTTATGTCCTTTGCATAATTACTTCAGAGCAATGTCCTTTTTGTATAGACTCAGGAAGACAGTTAATGCTATGCTTTTATAACTAGAAGTTAATTGACTCCGAATAATTTTCACTCCTGGGCATCTGCTTTCTTAACTTAAGCCTCAGTTGCCCTTTTTAGTTCCTAGCACCCCAAAAGTAGGGTCCCAATGAGGGATTAGATGGACCCAGGGCAAGCTGTGAGCCACCCTGGCATTGAAATGGGCCAGGCCAAAGCGCCACAATACTTAACTATAAATTAAGAGAATGATCATAGACAAATTCTGTCATGATACAAAAGTAACAACTGAATTAGGACCCTGCTAGAGTTAGAAAAGACTAATCTGGCCTGAGCAGAGTCTGAGATCTATAGCAAGATGGCCCCAGGAAAGTCATCTATAAGCTTAACGTATCTCTTACTGTGTCCATACAAAATGACTAATATTATGAATGTTTATATGTTTGTTGGACTAACGAGAGGAGAAACACACTCATATTTTGCCCTTAGGCTAGTCGTCTTGCTAGATGAGAATCTGTCCTAGAAGAAGCTTCCCCCTAGGAAAGGAGCTTACATCTGTTGATTGTATGACAACACCTTATGTGTAATTGTTACACATAACCCCTCATGCTTTGGAATTTAACGAAGGTTGTAAGAGTGGGCTGGGGGCAGGCAGAAGCAGGAAGGAGAAGTATGAAGGAGCAAGATCCAAGAGGAGGATGAGGGGGATCGGGGAAGGGGAAGATTAGGGGGAGAACCAGGAGAATTCAGAAGGAAAATCAGGAGAGAATGGAGAGAATGGAGAGGACATTGGAATAAACTGCAATTGAGACCAACCAGTCTGGCCCTCATTTCCTCCTTCATCCACCCATTGCCATCGACCTTCCGGGGTGGGGGAAGCAGCGCAAAACCACCTAACAAAGGTGGCAAGAGAGAGAGAGAGAGCCGCCGATGGCTTTTGTATTTATTTTTTGAATACACAATAAATACAAATTTTTTAAAGTAATAATATCTTAGTTCTAAAGATACAGGTCAATAGGCTGAGGGCACGCTCTGCATGAGGGAAGTCTGGCGTCAATCTCCAACATCCCAAAATTCACTAAAGCACCACCAGGAGCAAGCCCAAAGCACAGGGAACATACCCTGACCACTACTGGATGTAGCCCCAAACAGTATTTTCTGACATGGAAATAGTCTCTGTGAGGGGGTTAGGGGGTGGAGGGCACCCTGAGACAATGGTGGAGGGAGGCAGACACTCTGGCAGAGGGTGTGGTTTTGGAACACTACATGCATAACCCACCACAGTTAACAGTAAACCATGGCACTTCTAAAAGAGAAAATAATAATAAACTTTCCTTACAAGACAAGTTCAATTTAGTCACTATATAATGTTACATCTTAGTCAATAGAATTCTATTTCACTATAGCCTTACTCCCCAAAAAAACAAAGAAAACAATAAAACCTTTCACCCCAACTCAGTTACCCTTACTGAAGGGGAAAGAAGGGAAATACTAGTACATAATCATTGATACTCAGCATATTGACAGTAGGAGAATGTACTAAAATTACCAACACAATGAAAGCTCATTTTATGTCCAGAACAGGAGAAAAAGATCCCAGATGCCTGGCTCTCTTTCCTAGTTCTCTCAATGACCTCTCTGTAATGTCAGCTCCATCACTAACCCCTCAGTTCTTCAGTTCCATTAGAAAGAAAGGAGGAGAGAACACTGTTCACTGAATTCTCAGTGCCTCAGAACCAGGAGTGTGTAAGGTGACTATATGAAATGAAGATTAAATCACAAGAAACAGGGTCTGATGGAAAATACTATTCAACAAATCTGAACCCATAAAATTGTGATTTCATATTGATTCCTAATATTTAAGAAGTCTGAGAACCTCAGATCGTTTTATACTACAAAATGATGGTTGCTTTGGTGTTGGTGCAGATGTGGCGAGAAAGGGACCCTCCTTCACTGCTGGTGGGAATGCTGACTGGTTCAGCCCTTTTGGAAAACAGTATGGTCAATTCTCAAAAAATTAGAAATTGAGCTCCCATTTGACCCAGCTATACCACTCCTGGGAATATACCCCAGAGAGGCAAAAAAAGTATAGCCGTAGTGACATCTGCACTTGTTTGTTCACTGCAGCACTGTTTACAATAGCCAGAATCTGGAAAAAACCTGAGTGCCCTAGAACAGATGACTGGTTAAGGAAACTTTGGTACATCTACACAATGGAATACTACGTAACTGTCAGAAAGGATGAAGTCATGAAATTTACATACAAGTGGTACTACATGGAAAGTATCATGCTAAGGGAAATGAGTCAGAAAGAGAGGGATAGATATAGATAGATTGCATTCATCTGGGGAACATAAAGTAACAAAATAGGAGACTAACACCCAAGAATGGCCGAGATTAGTACTAGGAATTTTGCTCCATGGTTTGGAGGCCAGCCACACATGCTAGGGGAAAAGGCAGCTCAGATAGAAAAGGGAGCACCAAACAAAGGGTGTTGGGAGGATCCTCCCAGGATGGGAGATGCATGCTGCTATAGATTGAACATGATTGCCACTCAATGCAAACCACAGCACCCAAAAGGAGAGAGAGAACAAAGGGGAATGCCCTGCCACAGAGGCAGGGTGGAATGGGCAGGGATGGGGGGTGGGACGGATACTGGGATCAGTGGTGGTGGAAAATGGGCACTGGTGGAGGGATTGGTACTCAATCATTGTATAACTGAAACCCAAGTACAAAAATTTGTAAGTCTACAACTGTATCTCATGGTGTTTCACTAAAAAAATTTTTTTAAATTGATGGTTGCTTAATAATAAACAGAAGGAAGAATAAATAAAATAATACTAAAAGAAGATAAATACTTCAAATTAGATAAGCACGGTCAAGTAATTAATTATTTACAATTAAAATAATATATCAGCCAAGAACCAACTTTGTTCTGCTATCCTTTATCTGTAAAATTGTATTCGAATTCAACATAATTTAAAGTATTGATATGGGGATTTAAAAAGTTTATGTAGGAGCTGCTGGGGGACATGGAGGGGAAAAACAAAACAAATAAAACAAAATGTATGTTAAGTGCTGAAACAGAAGTGGCTTGTAGTCAGCAGCCCCTGTTAACTATTGTTATATATCATTACTATTGTTTTTGTTAACTACCATCACTATTATAGTCAAGATTACATACAGCTCCTACAGACTCCATTCAATAGTGCAAATGGGGAAATATTTAGAATTATTAAATTTGAATTTTCAAGGTAAACTTAACAGTAAGTAAAGTCTGCATTTCAGAAACACTTCAGTGGTGTTCGAATAGCTGACTAACGTCTCTAAAAAGTGCTAAGATAACAAACTTCTGATTTGATTCCATTTTGAAGAGCAAAGCACACTCTTATCTTTATTCTTATATTAACAGTTCTACAAGCATGTAATGTTTAGATGAGGATAAATCAAGCATGATTACAATAGTATATAGGAAGTGATGGCTTCCGTTCTGAAATAAAGGTTTATTCTATAACTATTTTAAAGGTGGAAGTGCCTTATTTCCATCAGTCTCTCACTGCACCATCAGTGAGAGCACCTGGTGCTGCTTAGCTGCCCAGCAGGAGAGAGGGTTGGCCAGGCCAGGGTGTGCTCAGGCAGCCCCTCCGCAGTGCCTGTGGTCCAGACTCAGCTTTCTGTTCTGCCAGTGGAAATGCTGGTTATAGGGTTCTAGAACTATTTCACCTAGTCAAGTATGGATGGAAGGAAGGAAGGAAGGAAGGAAGGAAGGAAGGAAGGAAGGAAGGGAGGGAGGGAGGGAGGGAAAAAGAAAAAACAGAAAGAAAAAGAAAGAAAGAAAGAAAGAAAGAAAGAGAAAGAAAGAAAGAAAGAAAGAAAGAAAGAAAGAAAGAAAGAAAGAAAGAAAGAAAAGCTAGTTTAAAAAATGACTTGACAGGTTATTTTAACGAACCTGTAAATTTGGGTCAGACAGTACAGGGATGAAGAGGCATGCCTGAATCCTAATGGTCCTGGTTCAGACCACCAGCAGAACATTCGGTTCCGAGCACCATCAGGGATAATTCCTGAATGCTGAGCCAGGGTAAACCAGACTGGGTGTGGCCCAATCCTTTCCCCCAGGAGGAAATGTAAAAAGTTATACTTGAATAATCTCAAGTGACTATATGAATTTGTTTTTTGTTTTGTTTTTGGCCATAACCCAACGTGCTCAGGGCTTACTCCTGTCTCTCTGCTCAAGGAAACCTTATGTGTTGCCAGCGATGGAACCTGGGATCGTCCATATACAAGGGAAGTGTCCTACCGGCTGTCTTACCTCTCCAGGTCATGAATATCTAAATTTTAATACATAGAAATACACTGCTAAATGATCTCCGTGTATGACACTGCAGAGTTAGTCTGATGACCGTTTTGCCAGTGACCTATGAGTGGGGAGCTGGGGTCCACTACATCACAAGCATTTCTCAAACGCCCACTTTTTAGTATTACTCTAACTGCATTCTTTCTCTACAGAGTTACACTTCGGGGAGGGGTGGGGGCGGGGGTTGATCTCAGCCAATGGCTCCAAGACCTTTGCTTGTACTTTGCCTGACTCTATATTTTTCTCCACGGCAGTGACTCAAATGGAAGGGGGAAGGTGCCCTCCGGGAACCCGCGCTGCCTAGGGACGTTTTCCGGTCGTCAGGGCTGGGGCGCCGCGGGGCCGGGCAGAGGGTGCTGCGGGCATCTGGTTGGCGGGTCTTGCTGCAGGGCGCAGGGCGCGCGGCCAGAAGCGTCACTCCGGCCGGTGCCCCTGGGGTTTAGAAACGCAGGGCCCTTTAAATTATCCCAAGTGCCCGCCGGATTTCACGGTGCAGAACAGCATCTACAAGCAAGCCTGGTGTGTATACAACATCTAACGCCAGGGGCCAGAGGGAGTCCTTAGCGAGGGCACTCCGCAGGTGCCCGGCCGGGGCGACCCCCCGCACCCCGTGGGGTCCCCCAGCCCCGCCTGGAGTGACCCATGAGAGCAAAGCATCGCAGGAGTGACCTCCCCCCAACCCAAACAAACAAAACCTAACGCCAGTTGTAAACTGCTTGATTCCTCTGGGGTTGTCAGTGCAGTCGGGAGCCACGGGCGGCCCCCGGCAACCGCACGAGCGCGGGGGGGGGGGGGGGTGCGGGGGGGGCGGCCGCCCACCACGGCACAGGCGCGGGCTTGGGGGCTGCCACCGCCGCGAGCCTCGCGTGGACGCGCCGTGGCCACTGAGGCCGGCCGCGTTCTGCTGTCCCCGCACGGGCCCCGGACACGGGCACGCAGCTGCCCTAATGACGGCCACACGGGCCCCGGACACGCAGCGTCAGAGACACGCGAGGGGCGCCCGGGGTCGCGGGGCCGCTCACCTGCTCCCGCCACCCTGGCAGGCCCCGAGCCCTCCCCGGAGCCCTCCCGAGAGCCCCCGACTTCTGACCCCAGACAGCCCCGACCCCCCGAGAGCCCCCCCGAAGCCGCCGCCCCCCGCCTCACCCGTCACGCGGATCGACTCCAGCATGGTCCCACCGGCGCCGCGAGCTCGGAAGGGGGGCGCGTCGGGGGCGGCGGGCTCCGAGGCAGGTGCCGGCGGGGACAGGCGGGTGTGGACCGAGAGGACGCGGTTGGGAGCAGAGCCGCGTCCCCGCTAGGCTCAGGAGGGGCAGGAACGCCCAGCGGTCCCTCGGCGCCGGGTGACGCGGCCCCGCCGTCGCCAAGCAACGCCGAGCCGCCGCCCAGCGCGGCGCTTCACAAAGCTAGCGCGGGGCCGCCCGGGCACGGAACTACAACTCCCGGCGTGCACCGCGTGCGCATGCGCCGGACCGCGACGCCCACGGGCCCCTCTCCCTCCCCCCCCCTCCCCCGGGTCCCGGCTGGCGGCGGTCGGCGGCACACACTGAGCATCACTGGCGGCCCGCTGCAAAGCCTGCCTGCGTCGCCTTTCACTTTCAAGGCGCGAAAATGTTCCAACAGCATCAGGCTGAGCACGGTCATGGTAAAGGCTACAAGCCTTAATAACTACATATTTTAACTGCGAACCGTGCAACGAGCCGATGCGCCTGAAGGCAGCTTTAGGTCTCGCTGTCCTCGGGGAAGGTGGAGACCAGACTCTTTCCAAAGCGGCTGTCTTTGGTTCTAAAGGCCTGGAAAGGCCTTGGGAGCCCAAGGGGGGAGGGGAGAGCACGGAGTCCTGCGAAGCTCGTCTAGGCTCGCGCCCACACTTCCAGCTAACAGAGCGAAGGAGTCTCTACCCCGGCTCAACCTGGCGACAGCACGCGAGGGCTGGGATGCAGGAACAAAGGAACAGCGCACTGTGAGAGGGACAGAAATATACGATTCTCCCCCCCCCCCCCCATTTTCCTCTAATCAATTACGACTAAATTTAATTGTGATAGTTAATTTTCGCAATTGGCGGGGAGTCCACCACCCGTTTCTAGTCGAACCTGCAAATTCTCAAGCCAGCCCTTCTTCACTACTGCCACCACCTGGTTCGGACCAGCAGCATCTCTGTCCCGCCGAGGCTGCTGAAAGATCGATCTATTTGCAACCTGGTCCTCCTGATTCTCAACACTATGTGGCAAGCGTTATCCAGTCTAAGAGCCAGACAGTCCTCTGTGCTGAAGCACTCAGTGGCCCCTGTCCTCCTCGCCTTTGCGTCTTTTATGACCTCATCTCCTGCCGTCACCCTGGTCTCCTCTCCCACTGTTCCCGTCCCTGTTTTTCTTCAGACGCAGTAATTTCCCTGGCAGTCCCCAAACGTCCCTCAAGGCAGTTCCAGTTGGAATCTCCCCTGCTTGCACAGTTCTTCTGCAGACAGCAATAGAACTTCCTCCTTCCCCACTTCTCAGCACCTAATCCCATAGACATTTATGGGATTTATTCCTAATCCCATAAAGGGATAAACATGATAACCTTTCAGTACCTGTACTGCAAACCATAATGCCCAAAAGGGGGGACAGAGGGAGGAGGAGAGGGCAGGGAGGGAGGGAAAAAGATAGAGAGAGAGACAGACAGACAGACACACAGACAGAGAGAGCCTACCTTAGAGGCAGGTTGTGTGTATATGGGCAGCAGGAGGAAACAAGAGGGTGTAGGTGGGAAATGTGCACGGTGAAGAGATGGTGTTGGAACATTCACTTATCACTTAATCACTTAACTTCCCGTTAGTCGTTGATTTGCTCGAGCGGGTGCCAGTAACGTCTCCATTTGTCCCTGTCGCGTGCTAGTGTAGCCCAATGGCATCTCTTCGCTCCGAGAACATGAAGGGCCTCAAACCGATTGTTCATGATCTTGACGAAGAAGTCTGACCATTTGGAAGGTGGGCGGCCACGCGGTCTTTTGAAATGCCGTGGAATCCAGTCAGTAACAGCTCTAGTCCAACGGTCGTCTTTAAATCTCGTTACGTGACCAGCCCATCTGATTTTCGACAACTTGGCAAATGAGACAGCGTCCCTGATCCTTGATCGTCGACGGATGTCAGAACTCCGGATTCTTTCTCTCACTTGAGTGAAACGTGATATTCCAAGCATAGCTCTTTCTATTCTTCTTTGGGAGACCTGAATACATAGGGCCCAGGTCTCTGAGGCATATGTTAATGCAGGAAGAACAGTGGAATCAAAGAGATGTGCCCGGAGCCGGAGGTTCTTCATCCTCTTAGCTATTTCTTCGAAGCTCTTGAAGGCGTTCCAAGCCACTCTCTTCCTCCTGCGCAGCTCGGGTGCCAGGTCATTTGTCATGTTGACCTCTCGACCTAGGTACACATAGCTGTTGCATTCGGAGATGGTCGTTCCATTGAGAGCGAATGGGGCGTCAGGAACAAGGCTGTTTCTCATAAACATTGTCTTCATAAGATTCAGCTGTAGTCCTACCTTTCCACACTCACGGTCAAAGTTGGCCAGCATTTGTGCCGCTTGGCTGATGTTTGGTGTTATTAAAACAATGTCATCAGCAAAGCGGAGGTGGTGTAGTTGCTGACCATCTATCTTCACTCCCATTCTTTCCCATTCCAGTCGTCGCATGATGTTCTCGAGGGTGGCACTGAAGAGTTTCGGTGAAATGGTATCACCCTGCTGCACCCCTCTCTTGACATCAACGATCACTTCTTTGTAGAATGGTGAGATCCTGGTAGTGAATCCGCAATACAGCTCACGGAGGATCCTGATGTATTGGGCTTGAATGCCCTGATTGGCTAGGGCTTCAATGACCGCTTCCGTCTCACCAGAATCAAAGGCCTTCTTTAAATCAATGAACGTTAAACAGAGCGGCATCTTGAACTCCCGAGAAACCTCAATGAGCTTGGTTATCGTGTGGATATGGTCGATAGTGCTGAATCCTTTGCGGAACCCTGCTTGCTCGCATGGTTGTCCTTCATCTAGTGTTCTGCCAATCCTATTTAGGATGACTCGAGTGAACAACTTGTAGATGACAGACAATAGGCAGATCGGGCGATAGTTGCAAATGTCATGGATGTCTCCCTTCTTGAACAGTAGTACGGTCCTGCTGGTTTTCCATTGGGACGGAACCTTGCATTCAGACAAGTAGCGAGTGAAGAGCCAAGCCAATGTATTGATGAGTACTGACGGCAGGTTCTTCAGGTGTTCAGGTCTGACCTTGTTTGGGCCGGGTGCTGTTTGTTTCTTTACCGACGAAATGGCATGTCGGATTTCGGAAGGGAGAACGTTGGGAACGACATATCCATCCTGTGGAATTTTGTCGGCAAGTGGACATGGCTATCGAAGAGATTTGAGTAGAAGTCATGGATAATCTTCTCCATTGCCGTTCTGGAGGATGTGATGGATCCATCAGGACGTCGGAGGGCAGTCATCTTGGTCTTATAGTTGGCGAAGGACAGGCGGGCGTTACGAATACTTTTCCCGGCTTCTGCCGCATCTACCAGTACTTCTGCTCTTCTCTCTTTGAGGTCTTCCTTGATCGCATCTCTGCACTGCTTTGCGAGCTCGGACGTTAGCTTGCGGTTGCCTGAGGCATGCGCCAAACCACGCTGGCGAATTAGCTCAAGAGTTTTCGAAGATAGGCGATTTTTTGTGGCTATCTCTCTCTTGGCGTTCCTCGCACATTCATGGAGGTGCTGAACCAGTCGATCGTATTCCTCGTCAATGTTGTCAACAATGGCATCTTCCCATATTGCCGCAATAGTACCAAAGAGTTCCCAGTTGGTGGTCATTCTGGGAGTTCTCTTTTTGAACTTTGCGGCCCTTTCTCCCCACTCTGTGAAGTAGAATTTTGCACGAAGGAGACGGTGGTCTGATCCCATTTGAAATTTTGGGACAACAGCGACATCAGTCAGGCAAAACCGTCGATTGAATATGATGTGGTCTATTTCGTTGTGGAATCGTCCACCGGGAGACTCCCATGTCCATCGTTTAGATTCTGCCTTCTGGAACTGTGAGTTACCATGAATGGCCTTGGTCGACATGATGAACTCAGACATGTTGGAACATTATATGACTGAAACCCAATCGTGCAACTTTGTAGTTGTATATCTCATGGTGATTCAATTAAAAAATATGCCCTACCAATATTTTCCTATGAATCATTGTGACTTCTGAGTATCTTTGTGTGTCAGGATCACACATTCTGACCTGACCCCAACTTTAAAGCTAATCCTAGAAAAAGGTGCTGCCATTGCAATCAAGGCATTGTAAACAATTCTTCGTATAATGTGAAGCATTGACATATTTGTTAACAGATTTGGTTTGTCTAATTACAAATGAGTCCTGTTATCAGCTTTTGACCACCCCCAACTCTGTAATTATTCAGCATCAAGCTTTGTTCATCTACTGTGTTAATTATTTATCTGTGCTATGACTGTTCGGTATTTCCACTAGGTATGGAATCCAGCTGTTCCCTGGGCAGCTTCTGAGTCAGCATTGTTTTTCCATATCCTCAGAAGAATGAACAAGTCCATCTTCTGAAAAGTGTTCTGTTATACCTGTTTCTATATAAAGCCATTAATATCAAGACAAAGGAACAGGTACCATTATCAGTTACTACTTAAGGTGCCGATTGCAAAATAAACTTAAGAATCTATTAAAACTGCCTTTAATAATTTATATTTAAAAATACAACACCTTCAAAATTTTTTGAATAATAGGAGGCCAGAGAGACAGTAGCGGGCTTAAAAGCTCTTGATCTGTGCATGGTTGAACTGGGTTCAATCCCCAGCACCCCATAGGGCTCCCCTAATCCCCATGTCCCTGAGTTAGAGGCAGGAGCAAGCCCGGAGCACAGTTGATGTCTTCTTCCTAAACGTTTTTTAATATTGAATTAAAATTTCTGCAAAATAGCTTAGACTGTGAGTGGAGTTACCCCTGAAGCTGTGAACATTGAATTCATCTTGCAACTTGCAAGCACGAACAGAAGCCTCAAGGAAAGCAGTAAACAATGTATCTTGAGTCATAAAAGAAAAATTAGAGAGCTGGAGAGATAGTACAGAGGTAAGGCATTCACAGGACCTGTGTTTAATTCCTGGCACCATGTATGTTTCTCCAATAGTACCAAAAGTGAGCACTGCCAGGAATGATCCCTGAACACAGAGTCAGAAGTGAGCCATGAGCACTGATGGGTGTGGCCCCCAAGCCATAACAAATGATAGAATAGAGTTTTGTGGCTTTTAGAAAACTTCAAAGCAGTTTGGATGCTTTCAGAATGTCTGTCTTGAGAGAACAGAATGTTCTTACAGTGTGTGTATTCACAACAGTTGAACGTAT